TTGTAACGACTAACGTTTGGTTGACTGTGCGTATTAGCTCAGCATTGATAGAAATGTATTTCAATAATTTTATATATTTTTTTCAGTCAAAAAAATGTGTGTCTGTTTGCCGTGTGGACGGGACATGAATTCGCTATAAAGACCACAAAAATAACAAGAGACGACGTATTTTGGATCACAAAAATGGAACCTAAATTAGTAGAGTTCTACAATAAATGTCTTTTGCCTGAGTTGATCGATCCGAGAAAAAGTCGGTCAATGCCAATTAGAGATGTGCAATTATAAAATTATATAATTACTTTAAAGTTTGTTGTTTTAATTTATTATAACAATTAGATTCAAAAAATTAAATCATAAAATTGATCCTAAATAAATAAAAGTATCAAAATGATTCGTTATAACTGTTCAGCGCTCACGCACACAGAGAAAACATTGTGCCACAGCGCGTACTCCTTTCGATAGATCGTGTAGATTTTGACTTGCGCATAATCGAACGCGCGCTCTTAAGTAACATCGGAAAATTTTTTTTTACATCATTTGTTAAGAAATTGTTTATAAACAAATAGGCAAGTTTAATATTTAAAGAATTTTTTTTTTACCATTATGTTGTCTTTGCAAAATAATGATTTTTAAAAAAAAAATTTTCTTAAATAAATTTTTTTATGGTTTATAATCGTTTTTTTTTTATATTTCGATTGTTTAAATAATTAGTTAAGGAATGATTTTCTCTTTAAAAATCATAATTGGCATTTCTTCATAGGTAAATAGAAAAAAAAAATTTTTTTATCAATAATTTCATTGTTTGTTAACTTAACAATTTGTTATAAACAAATTCTAACTACCGTTATATTTTTTTTCTAGAGCTAAAAAAAATAACAAAAACAGCCATATATATCAAAATACTAAAAAAATTTTTTTTCTATTTTTTATAACGCTTTTAAATATTCCACGATACCAAAGTTGCACCGGACACTTGATTTGTCAAGTAAAAAATTAATATAACTTATAAACTATTCGAGATACGATAATGGACATTCAGGTCGTTTTTATAAAGCATTAATTAATCTTCAAAATAAGCTAAAAACCAAGTTTGTAACTATTGTTTATCAGCTAATACACGCATTTGTTTATAAAATTTTGAGATTTCTTTAACTTTTTCGTATCTCTTATGACTTACAACTTAATAAATAATTAAAATACAGCTATAAACCTTAAAACAATTTTGTTTAGCGATACATTATCTCCCAAATTATCAATTAATCGTACCTCCATCTCTAATGTGACAGAAAAGGTGTCAACTAGTTCAGTTCAAAACTTCGATAGACCAAGCTGTTCTGCAATCCCTCCCTTAAAGAAAAGAAGGAAACGAACTATTTGAATTTGTATTATTGCATTGTATTATTTCCTCAAATATATTTAGAATTATTATTATAAAACAGTGACTTTTATTTTATAAATCCATTTTATCCTAATATTATTTCTAATAATTTTTTCATACCAATAAATGTAATTCTATTTAATTATAATAAAATATATAAAAATATGGTTAACATGTAAAAATTTAGAAGATACGGCAGATCAAACTACAAAAAATATGAAAAAAAAAATACTTAATGACATCGAAGAAACTATTTATTTAAATAAATGATAAAATCAGTTTCACTTAGAAGCTATAATAACTTATAATAATGTAGAGAAAATTAAAAAATTACAAAATGAAGGTAAGTGTTAGATAAATATTAAATAAATATTAATTAAATCACGTATATTGTTTAAACAATTAGAGATGGAGGTACGATTAATTGATAATTTGGGAGATAATGTATCGCTAAACAAAATTGTTTTAAGGTTTATAGCTGTATTTTAATTATTTATTAAGTTGTAAGTCATAAGAGATACGAAAAAGTTAAAGAAATCTCAAAATTTTATAAACAAATGCGTGTATTAGCTGATAAACAATAGTTACAAACTTGATTTTTAGCTTATTTTGAAGATTAATTAATGCTTTATAAAAACGACCTGAATGTCCATTATCGTATCTCGAATAGTTTATAAGTTATATTAATTTTTTACTTGACAAATCAAGTGTCCGGTGCAACTTTGGTATCGTGTAATATTTAAAAGCGTTATAAAAAATAGAAAAAATTTTTTTTTAGTATTTTGATATATATGGCTGTTTTTGTTATTTTTTTTAGCTCTAGAAAAAAAATATAACGGTAGTTAGAATTTGTTTATAACAAATTGTTAAGTTAACAAACAATGAAATTATTGATAAAAAATTTTTTTTTTTCTATTTACCTATGAAGAAATGCCAATTATGATTTTTAAAGATAAAATCATTCCTTAACTAATTATTTAAACAATCGAAATATAAAAAAAACGATTATAAACAATAAAAAAATTTATTTAAGAATTTTTTTTTTTTTAAAAATCATTATTTTGCCAAGACAACATAATGGTAAAAAAAAAATCTTTAAATATTAAACTTGTCTATTTGTTTATAAACAATTTCTTAACAAATGATGTAAAAAAAAATTTTCCGTTGTTACTTAATGCCATTGTTGGATAAGAAAGCAGCAATAATATAACATTTGTTTAAAAAATTTTTTTTAATAATATTTCTTAGACTTTTCATTTTTTGTTAACTTTAAAAAATTGTTATAAACAAAATAATTAACTTTAATAAACTTTTATCGCGGGACCTTGTTAAGTATATATATAAGAAGAGCTCCACAGAGCCAAAAATTTATAGGTTTATTATTTAAATTTTTATGTCGTCATTTATGAAAACGGAGATAGGAAAAAAATTCGTTAATTAACAATTGCATAACTTTTTGAAAAATTAATTTAAATTTTTTTTTCCAACGGCAATATATTCTTTCAAGTATCTGGATGACACCATAATATATTTAAATTTTTAAATTCATATTTGTTACTATAAAAAATAATTTTATGTAAGAAACTGTCTTTAACGGCAGTGCGCCCATGCCGTAATGGCTGCGCGGAGCCCTATTTTCAGCGTTAAATTAAAATTATAAATAATAGAGGTAGAGTTCCGGGAGCTGGGACTTTTTTTTCGGAAATTTCCTCCTCTTTAAGGACCTTTCTTCCAAATATCGTAAATATTAATAGTTTATGAGTTATTAACAAAAACGTAAATACGTCTTTTTTTTCATCTTATTTTGTTAATAACAATTGCAATTTTTTACGTGCAGTAAAATCCTCAAAACTCATTTTTCTAGAGGTCGTTCCGAATCCAATGAGCTATTGCTCATATTTTTAGGAGCTTTATCTCTATTTTTCACGTTTTTGAACTTGTTGACTGGACTATAGGAGGGTGTTTGGGCATAGATGTGGAGTCTTCTTCAATAAAAACTCGGTGTTTTTAGTAATTTCTCTTTATGTAATAATGAATACAATTTACAAGTAACAGTTTTCTTGAGAGAATGAATTTCGCAAGTCATGACATAATAGCCGGTAAAACAGCCGAACACACGAACACGAGTGACATCCGCCATCTGCGGACGACATCCAATGACGTTTGTGCTAGGCGCGCTACAGTGGTACGATCCAATAGATGGCGCCACCCGTTATCTAAGTGCGATTTTTTGCTATGATTTGTAATATTCCTTTTCTTTTATGTCGTTTATACGGGCGCGAACAGAGGGTATCATTAACAATGTATTGTTCAGCCAGTTTCCCGTCGCGTGAATTTGGTCTGCTGAGTGCGGTGATCTTGTGTCTAGACATGGTGTCGTCTCTCTTTGTATATCATTCAGCGTTGGCTAGCTATGCAATAGTTGGTTCGGTCCTTCTCTGTCTGTCGTTTAGCATCGGCTAGCTTAAGCGCTTATTTCACCTGTCTAAATTCAGACGTTCTAAATCATTCAGTAACTAATTCAGTCAAGTCAAATAGCATTTAGGAAGTTAGGATCCTAATTAGCATCCTAAATCGGAAGAAGTGTAGCTTGTGACTGACTAAATCATTTAGTATCCTAATTAGAACTCGATTTAGGAAGGTGGAATAGCGTAATTTTTATTGACCTAACGGCCAGACCTACGAGAAAACAGATTTGTTGTTTCTTTGACAGAGCTTGAGCAATTACGAAAAAGTCCGACTGAATTCGCCGTGTTCTTGTAACTGACTGATTCAGTAATTAAATTAGTCAAGTGTAATCAGAAGCTTTTAATTAGTCTTCTTTTTAGGATCCTAACTAGGACGTCTGAATTTAGTCAGGTGGAATAAGCGCTTTAGGTACATTCGATATCAAGATGATAGATATAGTGTGTTCACGCCGCGTGAGTTCGGTCTGTTGAGCACGATAATTTTGTCTTCTCTCAATTATGTTTGTCGTTTAGCGTCGACTGGTTTAGGGACACTCGATACCAGATACATATAGTGTAGCAGGAGGTGTCATTAACGATGCATCGTTCAGCCAGTTTCACGCCGCGTGAGTTTGGTCTGCTGAGCGCGGTGTTCTTGTGTCGATACTTGGTGTGTTCTCTCTTTGTATATCATTCAGCGTTGGCTAGCTATGTAATAGTTGGTTCAGTCTTCTTTGTTTGTCGTTTAGCGTATGCTAGCTTAGGTCCATTCGATATCAAGATGATATAGTGTGCTCACTGTTGAGCACGATACTTTTGTGTTCTCTCAATTATGTTTGTCGTTTAGCGTAGACTGGTTTAGGGACACTCGGTACGAGAACGATATAGTGCAGCTGGAGTTGTCATTAACGATGCATCGCTCGGTCAGCTAGGGTCTATATTCAGCGTTGGCTAACTGTGAAATAATCGGTCCATTGTGTCATTGTTCAGGGCGTCGGTACCGGCACAACATAGAGTAACAGGATGGGGGCAATAATAACGTATCGCTCTGTCAGTTTCATGCCGCGATCTGGTCTGCCGATTGCGGTGTTCATGTGTTTTTACTAAGTCCGTTTCTCTATGTCTATCGTACAGATTTGTCTAGCTATTAAATAAATGGTCTATTCTGTCTGTAGCTAGTCTGACGCCGCGCGAGTCGGGTCTGCTGAGCACGGTATTCGACGTGGGCGGAGCCGCGGGCGCAATACTAGCGGGGCTGCTCGCGGACCGCAGCGCCAGCCCCGCCACTGTGTGCGGCGCGTTCTATCTGCTGGGGGCGCCTGCGGTCAGTATGTCGCTATATATATATATATATATATATATATATGGGGGGCGCAGTACTAGCGCAATACTAGCGGGGCTGCTCGCGGACCGCAGCGCCAGCCCCGCCACTGTGTGCGGCGCGTTCTATCTGCTGGGGGCGCCTGCGGTCAGTATGTCGCTATATATATATATATATATATATATATATGGGGGGCGCAGTACTAGCGCAATACTAGCGGGGCTGCTCGCGGACCGCAGCGCCAGCCCCGCCACTGTGTGCGGCGCGTTCTATCTGCTGGGGGCGCCTGCGGTCAGTATGTCGCTATATATATATATATATATATATATATGGGGGGCGCAGTACTAGCGCAATACTAGCGGGGCTGCTCGCGGACCGCAGCGCCAGCCCCGCCACTGTGTGCGGCGCGTTCTATCTGCTGGGGGCGCCTGCGGTCAGTATGTCGCTATATATATATATATATATATATATATATGGGGGGCGCAGTACTAGCGCAATACTAGCGGGGCTGCTCGCGGACCGCAGCGCCAGCCCCGCCACTGTGTGCGGCGCGTTCTATCTGCTGGGGGCGCCTGCGGTCAGTATGTCGCTATATATATATATATATATATATATATATATATATGGGGGGCGCAGTACTAGCGCAATACTAGCGGGGCTGCTCGCGGACCGCAGCGCCAGCCCCGCCACTGTGTGCGGCGCGTTCTATCTGCTGGGGGCGCCTGCGGTCAGTATGTCGCTATATATATATATATATATATATATATATATATATGGGGGGCGCAGTACTAGCGCAATACTAGCGGGGCTGCTCGCGGACCGCAGCGCCAGCCCCGCCACTGTGTGCGGCGCGTTCTATCTGCTGGGGGCGCCTGCGGTCAGTATGTCGCTATATATATATATATATATATATATGGGGGGCGCAGTACTAGCGCAATACTAGCGGGGCTGCTCGCGGACCGCAGCGCCAGCCCCGCCACTGTGTGCGGCGCGTTCTATCTGCTGGGGGCGCCTGCGGTCAGTATGTCGCTATATATATATATATATATATATATATATGGGGGGCGCAGTACTAGCGCAATACTAGCGGGGCTGCTCGCGGACCGCAGCGCCAGCCCCGCCACTGTGTGCGGCGCGTTCTATCTGCTGGGGGCGCCTGCGGTCAGTATGTCGCTATATATATATATATATATATATATATATGGGGGGCGCAGTACTAGCGCAATACTAGCGGGGCTGCTCGCGGACCGCAGCGCCAGCCCCGCCACTGTGTGCGGCGCGTTCTATCTGCTGGGGGCGCCTGCGGTCAGTATGTCGCTATATATATATATATATATATATATATATATATATATATATATATGGGGGGCGCAGTACTAGCGCAATACTAGCGGGGCTGCTCGCGGACCGCAGCGCCAGCCCCGCCACTGTGTGCGGCGCGTTCTATCTGCTGGGGGCGCCTGCGGTCAGTATGTCGCTATATATATATATATATATATATATATATATATATATATATATGGGGGGCGCAGTACTAGCGCAATACTAGCGGGGCTGCTCGCGGACCGCAGCGCCAGCCCCGCCACTGTGTGCGGCGCGTTCTATCTGCTGGGGGCGCCTGCGGTCAGTATGTCGCTATATATATATATATATATATATATGGGGGGCGCAGTACTAGCGCAATACTAGCGGGGCTGCTCGCGGACCGCAGCGCCAGCCCCGCCACTGTGTGCGGCGCGTTCTATCTGCTGGGGGCGCCTGCGGTCAGTATGTCGCTATATATATATATATATATATATATGGGGGGCGCAGTACTAGCGCAATACTAGCGGGGCTGCTCGCGGACCGCAGCGCCAGCCCCGCCACTGTGTGCGGCGCGTTCTATCTGCTGGGGGCGCCTGCGGTCAGTATGTCGCTATATATATATATATATATATATATATATATATGGGGGGCGCAGTACTAGCGCAATACTAGCGGGGCTGCTCGCGGACCGCAGCGCCAGCCCCGCCACTGTGTGCGGCGCGTTCTATCTGCTGGGGGCGCCTGCGGTCAGTATGTCGCTATATATATATATATATATATATATATATATGGGGGGCGCAGTACTAGCGCAATACTAGCGGGGCTGCTCGCGGACCGCAGCGCCAGCCCCGCCACTGTGTGCGGCGCGTTCTATCTGCTGGGGGCGCCTGCGGTCAGTATGTCGCTATATATATATATATATATATATATATATATGGGGGGCGCAGTACTAGCGCAATACTAGCGGGGCTGCTCGCGGACCGCAGCGCCAGCCCCGCCACTGTGTGCGGCGCGTTCTATCTGCTGGGGGCGCCTGCGGTCAGTATGTCGCTATATATATATATATATATATATATATATATATATGGGGGGCGCAGTACTAGCGCAATACTAGCGGGGCTGCTCGCGGACCGCAGCGCCAGCCCCGCCACTGTGTGCGGCGCGTTCTATCTGCTGGGGGCGCCTGCGGTCAGTATGTCGCTATATATATATATATATATATATATATATATGGGGGGCGCAGTACTAGCGCAATACTAGCGGGGCTGCTCGCGGACCGCAGCGCCAGCCCCGCCACTGTGTGCGGCGCGTTCTATCTGCTGGGGGCGCCTGCGGTCAGTATGTCGCTATATATATATATATATATATATATATATATATGGGGGGCGCAGTACTAGCGCAATACTAGCGGGGCTGCTCGCGGACCGCAGCGCCAGCCCCGCCACTGTGTGCGGCGCGTTCTATCTGCTGGGGGCGCCTGCGGTCAGTATGTCGCTATATATATATATATATATATATATATATATATGGGGGGCGCAGTACTAGCGCAATACTAGCGGGGCTGCTCGCGGACCGCAGCGCCAGCCCCGCCACTGTGTGCGGCGCGTTCTATCTGCTGGGGGCGCCTGCGGTCAGTATGTCGCTATATATATATATATATATATGGGGGGCGCAGTACTAGCGCAATACTAGCGGGGCTGCTCGCGGACCGCAGCGCCAGCCCCGCCACTGTGTGCGGCGCGTTCTATCTGCTGGGGGCGCCTGCGGTCAGTATGTCGCTATATATATATATATATATATATATATATATATATGGGGGGCGCAGTACTAGCGCAATACTAGCGGGGCTGCTCGCGGACCGCAGCGCCAGCCCCGCCACTGTGTGCGGCGCGTTCTATCTGCTGGGGGCGCCTGCGGTCAGTATGTCGCTATATATATATATATATATATATATTTACATCTTGTAAGACTTCTTGCATCTTTACAAACTGCCACCCTGCGGCGTCCACTGTACTCGACGCGATTTTGAATGTTTTAAATGCGTATTTAAGTAGCTATTATTATTATAATTTCTTGAGTCTACGCGAAATTGCAATAAAATATAAAATGCCAATATTCGATTTTAATATATCCCGGTAATTTGGCGCATCCGTTCACCACCATAACCATGCAGCACACTGAATATTTACGTATACCTTCTATGCACTGCTTAAATGCTCCTACCTCCGTCCAAACTTATGTTTAAATTGATTCTGCATAATACGATTTATTTCTACAAAGTTACGTCCCTCAACTTTTAAAAAGAGAGTTGTTAGTTCCGCATACTGTAGGTACTGTATATCAATGATATTCATCCTGCTATTCCACCGGCTTCCAGGTACGCCAGCACTTATACTGTCTTTGGAGTAGTAAATAGGAAGCTACAATTACTTATTTATGTTCAAAGCTTGATCGTTATTTTTGAGTTTTACACAGGTCAGTCGGGTAGACAGGGAATTCTTTTTTTTATTATATTTTAAAGTTTACATTGGTCCGTACCTTTATGTCTTTATATTTTTATTTATTAAAGTCATGATCATATTTAAGATAACTTTTTTAGCTCGGCTGGTCTGGAATTTCAAGAGTACCGGTGGGATTCGGGCTTGGTTGTCCCTTGACCCTGTATTTTACGGACCCAACGACAATATAGTCGTGCTCTGTGTACATCGTCGACAACGGAGTCGGAGGGATCCACCAAGGATAACTTAGAATACTGTCCGTTCCGGTGTCTTGCCTGATGCTAGTACTGCCAAGAGTTGTCCAATGGCGATCTGTAAGGTTTTTAGTGGGTAGGCTTATGATCAACACTGAGCTTGGCCGCAAGTCTAGGTGTATAATTCATTTTCCCAATGTAAAAATTAGTTAGGTTTAATGTGGGTATCCATAATAAATCCTTGTATAAAGGTAATTTGAAAGCAATACAAGCCACCCAGCCTTGTCGTACCTAGGAAAGATAATTATAGTTAGACAATAAGAAAAGTTGGTGTAAATAGACTAATTCGAACTAGGTAGGCTCGAAATAAAGAATAAAAATATGTAATGGAAAACGACTTCATGAATTATCTCTGACCTCATTTTTTAATTTGATGACTCTGTATTAAAATAATACCTACAGGGTGAAAAAACAACCTCTTGCTGAGTTTCTTGCCGCTTCTTAGTACAAGGTCCCTCGCCGTAGATTTGTATGGGGAGGCTTCTTGACGCACACAGGTGCCGAAAGCCTGAACTAAATAAAAGATCTCACCAAAACATTTTCATGGAAAATGATGCCAAGACGGGATCATGTATCACTCGCACGGATAAAAAGTTATCAGATCGCACGTAGAGCCATGCTTCTATCTCTACACGCCCTAACACTAAGACCAATTTTATCAGGGCGGTGATGGAGAAAGAAAACAACTTGCTTCCAAAACCTGTAAGAAGGATTACAGCGGATGCCCAGCGCGTTACACATGTTGGTCACGAACTTATAACGCATCCTTCGGGGTCCCGTAGTTATTGGCGTTTTTCCAAGACAGTGCAAAAGAACTTCTGCTATCCTTCGCTGCCACCTCTGAGATGCCCTGACGGAACACTAGCTGATAAGCCACGGGAGAAAGCCGATTTACTAGCAAAACTCTTTGCGGCTAACTCCCGAATCGATGATTGCAATGCACTGC